CCTCAAGACATCTGAGTATGAATGACCATTGACGAGGCCTTGCTTTCATATCTGACCGCTTCTTTCTGGACTGCATCTCTTTGCTACTGCCTCGTCCAAATCCTGATGTTTGCGCTGCTCAAGAGGAGCCTCACCATGAGAGCCCCTTTCCTTTGCGGGTCGGCTAGTCAGTTCGTTAATGCCTCTTCATAACGTCAGTGAGTCCACTCTCTATCGCTCTATCCCGTCATACTTTCCTTTCTCACTCATTACGACGAGTCCAGATTCTTCGACTAATCAGAGTACTCCTATTGTAGACAGGAGGATGGTAGGAACGCATGGAGGGGGGAGAGGGGGGGGGGCTTTCACAAGGCTTCTGAAATGCTAATCATAACCAAAAATACAAGGCATACCATGGGGATCTCGCAAGGTCTGTCTAGATTATAATGTTACACACAGAGAATGCGCGCCATCGCGTCACCGATATCCTAACCACTGTTTATCCACACATCCTCCACACAGAGAGCGAAAAAGGCGACAGCAGAATAAAGACGAGATATGGGAGAGGCAACATGCCTCGTCGATACGGTCCCTGAGATGACTCGACAGGCAATTACGCAAGCAATATGAATAACAGAACTTAATAATCAAGTGTCGCACGGTTGGGAAAAACTGTACTAAAGTACAAAAACGCAACAACGGCGGCGGATACTCCACTCAAATACAGAACACAAAGGAGCCAAGCCCGTGTCACAGTGTCTTCCTCATCTAACCATCTCCTGAGATTGATCTGGTATGAACTGGGCACCCAGGCGGTGCGTAGACCGTCTCTACCACCCCTGGTCCCTATCATACCGAACTCAAGTCCGAGGAGATGTTTCAGCTTAGGAAGAACTGTGACATGGTCGCTTGGCTCGTTTGATGTTCTGAATTGTCTTGAGTGGGATCCCCGGCTGCGTTGCTGTGTATGACATCAGACGCCCACGCGTCGCGACTGCAATGTTCTGCGAATGCTTTGCAATTTGCTTGGTGATCATCTTCCAGGGACCTATCAGCCACCTGGTTTGCTCTTCCCATCCTCGGATTCTGTATTCTGTGTCGGTGTTCCTCTTTGAGGCGAGCTGGGTATCTGAAGACATCTTGCATTTGGTTTTTAGAATCCGCCCGCGACAGAGCCGCGTAAACGCTAACGTAGCGAGGCGTAACGAACGAAGGCAGCGCAAAGGGGCCGGCGGGCTGACAGGCACAGATCGATTTGCACAGAGGGCAAGACGCAGAGAGGAGCGTCCGGAAGGCTCTTCTGCGCCCTCGTCACACATATTTTTGCTGCTGTTTTAATATTTCCTGTCCTTTATTTTGTTCATTATTGTTAGTTCAGTGTTCACGTGTGTGTGTGACAGACGTGCATGGGACAGATTGTGAAAATACGGGACAAACTGCGTTCCGTATTGGTTCAATACGGAACGCAACATTTAATTCCCAATTACGTAACAAATCGTACGTCAAGGAACGACGGAGTCTATCGCCCGGACCTAACGGAGCCGCAGTGGGCTAGCTCCAGCCTGCCGTCTGGAGCTAGCCCACTGCGGCTCCGTTAGCTCCGGCGGCCACCACTGGGATAATTGGGTCCCCTATTAACATTTGCTCCCGTTTAGCATTATGGGCGTCATAGCCATAGACTATAAAAGTCTTACCCAAGGCTGAATCATAAACTAAAATGTATAAAGGGTTACGTCCTTAGCTGGCTAATAAGTAACAAGCTAAGCTACCAAGCACACAAACACCTGCGAACGGGATTAACATGTATAGTATTATCATTTTAGACTTCTTGGAAGTTCTGTTAGTACATTTAAGCGCACAGCACGACATTTTAATTGTCTGGTATTTGTAAAAATATTCCCTAAAAGTCACAATCACCAGGAACACGGCTAAAGCTAAAGGGTCAAGTACAGTACTACTATGAGTAACTAACGTTGTAGCCTCTATGGTTGTAGCCTAGCAGAGTGGACAAGTTGCTGTTAGCTGACAGTGAGGCATGTACATGTCCATCAAAGTGACCACGCCCTAATTTATGCAAAAACTTTAAGACCTAATATAAATAAAAGGGTCGTTTTAGAAAACAATTCACTCACAGATTCATAATCATGAAGGTGGAATCTAACTATATCGATAATAATATTTATTGCATCCATGGGTAGAAACATGTTTTTTTCTGCTGTAAAGTTGG